TTCATAGCAGTGCACAATACAGTGCTGCTTACCAGGTTTTAGTGGTGGAGTAAGGCAAGGTTGGGAGTGATTTGTCAGAGGAAATAAAATTTTAGTAGTGCAGGAGAAGAAATTCAAGAGATCTGTTGGAAAACATGGGGAAGGTAAACAATAATGATAGGTTTGAAAATTCAAATACAAATATTAAGTATTACCACTTAAAAAGGGAAGCATATGAGGTTTTTCAAATGTTAAATCCCTCTATTTAGTTTATCTATCTACCTACCTATCTATCTATCAACCAACCATCTATCTATCTATCTATCTATCTTAGAGATTAAATATATGCAATATTTGCCAATTAAAATAAAATAAATAAGTTGTAACTTAAGAAAAGTAACGAGCTTTGCCTTGAAGTTTTCTTCTCCTAATCTGCACATTTTCATTGTATCAACTACAATATTCAAATAATGAGTGACTCACAGATTTATAGATTTAGTCTTGATGCATCTAACAATATTGAGAAATAAATTTAATCACCAGTAAGATATTTCACAAAACTTTTAGATTTATCTTTAAATCTTAACTAATCATTTTAATTCCCTTCCCGTTTTCTTACTAGTAAACCACATCTATTCTGGAATATAAGAAATCAATAAAACTTCATGACCTATACATCTTCTTCCTTACTGATATTTTGTTTTCAGTCTCAATTCATATTATTTTATTCACTTACTAAATGTTGAGAGAATCTTACAAATACTTTTTTCATGTCCAACTGTTCATTTTTCCTGTTCAGACCAATGTCCTTCTTTCTAAATTACTCTGCGATGCTTCTAAGTACTCATGGATTCTCCTCTTGGGTATTCTTCACAACGAAGCACAATGTTCTCCAATATCAAGCTTTGATAATGAAACCCCTCAGTTTAATCTAATCTAAGCATTCTCATTCAGCCTTAATCTCTGACAGTAAATCCATTCTTTATACTTACATGTTAAGTATGTTGCCTTTTGTGACTTTGCAAAAATATCTACTTAGAGACCTTTGCATCTCTAATTCCCAAACAGGTCATTTCTTGCTGTCTTCTCATTATTTTTTTTATCTCTCAGATCTCACATAACAGTGATTCCCAATCTACTCTCTAATCCCATTATTAGATTCTACACTTTATGAATTCAGGAGCCATGAACTAGGTCTGCATTACTTCTGACATTCAAGGGATGTTCAGTATTTCTCTACTGTATCACTGATCAAATCAATATAGGAATAAATGAATAAAATTTAGGCATGACCTATCTTTTAATAATGTGACTTAGGTAAGTTTGACATATTAACATTTCCAAGTTTTTGTGTACAAGACAGCTGGCCTGAGAGTATTACAAGCAGGAC